AAAGTCTACAATGATATTAGCCGTTCACAGAATGGATCCTATTAAATAGTTCCACGTTTAGAAAACCAAAAACGATGTATAATTTTTGGATTGACTAAGAGTCCCATTAACGCTTATAAAAATAATGGGTTTATTGTGCAAAGAAATTTACTTGGTACATTTTAGCAAGCGTCCATTCTTATTAGGTACATATACTATTTCCAGCCATACTTTAGTTGACAGAAAAAGCAGCAAATACACCGCTATAAAAAGTAGTGCTAGAGGCGCCACAATTTAAAATGTAAATGACTGTGGAAACCAAACAAATTTAGGGAACCAAGCATTTCCTTACGTTATAAACAGCTTTCGTTGTACGCAGTGAGGAAAATGAGCAACTCAGTTTCGCACTTTATTACATTTGTGTGTTTTACCCAAGAAATTTAATCCTTTAATTAATTTGTAACTAATGAAAAAGTTGGTCTAAAGAGTTTAGACAGTACTTCCCTCGCTTTCAGAACCGTGCCTTTATGTCTATCATAGATTCTTCTCATTAGAGTTCTGTGACGGGATATCTCAATAAATTCGCTTTCACTCTGGATGTCACGGCTCGTTCGTAATTTGATCAATAATAACTTCACTGATTCATTATTTTCTTTTGGGTAACCCTGTTTAAGAAGATCTAAAAAATATGAATGCAATGATAAATTACAAGTATAGTTTGATATATATTTTGCACATTTTCGAAAGGCTTTATTCGGCAAAATTTTGAGATGACGTAATCATTTTTTTGGGTTGATAAACATATACCTTTTGATTAAAAAGTTAAGATTCTTAAAATAACTTCAAAACATCTGCAAGATTTCAAAGTATTCAGTTTTGCAATTCTTGATTTAATCAATAAAATAAATTGACTCAGTCATTATTTTTTTGAGACACCCCGTGTAAACAAATCCAAAAAACTTTAATGTAGTGATAAATCACAAGTATGGACTCATCATTCTTTACACATTTAAGGTAGAATATATTTAGCGAAATTGTGAGGTGACATCATAAATTTTTTAGGGAAGATGAACAAATACATTTTGACTAACCATTTACCGACACAGAAGGAATTTTTCGAGGTCTTGTAAATTTTTCCGCAGAACTGGACCAGAACTTGAAAGAGCACATTGAAAAAACGAAAAATAAAGTTTTTACAGGTTTGTCAAAAACCATTCAAAACGAAATATTGGATTCAATGTACGCCGTTTGTTTAAATTTAATATATGAAGAAATTCTTCAAGCAGATTTCATAGCGATAGAAGCAGATGAGACTACAGATGCCGCTACAATATCTCAGCTAGTTTTTATTGTTCGTTATGAACTAAAAGGCCAAATATATGAGAGATTTCTAGGTTTTATTAAACCAGAAAATCACTCGGCAGATGGTATTAGCGAAGTTATACTGAATGAACTGAAAAAACTGAATATGGACAAAACTCCCGAAAAAGTAGTTGCACAGACTTTTGATGGGGCCTCCGTTATGAGCGTGAAAAACAACGGAGTGCAGGTTAAAATCCGGGAAATCTATGGAAGTGCACGGTTTATTCACTGTTACGCACATCAGCTGAATTTGATAATTGAACGTGCTGCGTCCCAGAATAAGCAAGTGAAAATATTCTTTGCCAATATTGAAGTGTTTTCGGCATTGTTTTCAAGATCGGCAAAGCGCACGGCGGTTCTTGATGATATTGTAAAGAAACGACTTCCAAGATTCTCGAAAACACGTTGGAATTTTAAATCCCGTTGTGTTTTGACGGTATATTCTTATAAAAACGATATCATGACATGTCTGGATCAAATTATTGATGAAGAAATTGACCGTTCAACAATAAACCAGGCTTCTGGTCTTAAAAATGATTTAGTTGACTATCACTTTAACTTTTGGCTCCATTTTTTTAATAAGATTATGCCACACTGTGATATCTTATTTAATCAACTTCAGCAACGCAATGTTGACTCTGTAAAAGTGCATAAATATATTTCAACATTCAAAAGTAACATTCAGATGGTAAGAAATTCCATTGATTACGACTACTATGTCGAAGAAGAAGAAGAAGAAGAAAATGCACCACCAAACAAGAGAAGTAGATTTGAAAATTCAAGCAAAAGAAGTTTGTGACGTTATAATAAATACTGTTGATGATCGATTTTCGAACAGTGACCATCTCTCAATCAGTGCTTTGCTTCAACTTAATTTATTTTCTGAATACCGGCTCGCCTTTCCAGAGAGAGAGCTGCAACTGGCTGCTAATACCTTCAATATAGACAAATATAGTTTAAAACAAGAACTTAGTGTGTTATATAACCGAAATGAATTTGAAAATGCAACAGGTAACATTATTACAGTGTTTTTACGAAAACAATTTGTTAACTGTACAAAGTTACTGAAGATTATTTGTACAATACCGATGACAACAAGTGAATGTGAAAGGTGCTTCTCGACGCTTAAACGTATAAAGACTTTTTAGAAATACCAGGCTCAAGGTAGACTGTGTGCGTTGGCAATGTGCTCGATTGAAAAAAGATTAATTCGTTCAACCCAGAACTTTAACGAATTAGTAATTGAATTTTGTGAGACAAAAAGAAAGAAGAATGGATTTCATCTATAAACAAGTTTCGTAACTAAGTAGGTAAGTGGTTTGAAAAATTTTATTGCATTCCTACCTACATAGGTATATTAAAAGTATAATTAATTTTCAATTTTAATTTAACTGTTAAATATACTATTTCTTCAGTACGTTTTTTTTTTATTATTAAAAATGTTGTCAAAACTTATTGCTAAGCAATATCAATACTTCTGTTGGGCGATGAAGATTATTATTATTATTATTTTCTTTGTTGTTTTTGCCCCCCCTCATCAGAAGCTTACGAGCCGCCACTGCCTAAATGTTGCAAACAAATTGAAAAAGGCACATTTGGAGTGGCGGCAACATCAAAACTGAAAGTAAGTTGTTTTCCTGACAATATTCCTTATTGACATTAATAATTAAGTTCTATTATAGGTGAGTTTAGCAGCACAAACTCTTAGCAAGACTGTTGCGGATGCACTTGAATTTTTAAAAAATCTTGGTATTGGTGACTTTCAAGGTTGTGAAGCAACAATAGAATTCATCAGAAGGATAGATTCTTTATTTGATATTCTCAATTCCCGAAGTGTACGTGCTAAGAATTTTAAGACATCTTTGAGAGAAAACAATGAAGAAATGTGGCGACCATTTCTCACCGACACCAATGACTATCTTCTGAATTTGAAGGATGTCACTGGCAGGCCTTTGTGGTGCACGCCCCGAAAAACGTCAATTCTGGGCTTTGTTATTTCCGTTACGTCGTTCATGGGAATTTTTAATGAATTTGTTAGTAGAAAGAGTTTGAATTACTTCCTAACATATAAATGTAGTTAAGATCATCTGGAAATTTTCTTCTGCTCAGTGCGGTAAGCTTTTTAAAGAAACAATTGTATTACTTTTTTTATGCACTGGAATTACACAAATCTGTATTTATTTTTCTGTTTTCAGATCGAGAAATGGATGAAACAATAACCCTACTCCTCTACAATTTTGTAAAACTTTTAGATGATTGCTTCTATTTACAAACATAACGAGGGAAGAAGGAAATTGTAAAGTGCTTTGCACCATCTGTATTCTCTCAGTTAGCAGTGGCCCAAAGCAAAAGAGCACAAATGTTCAACAATCAGTTGACGTGTTTGTCTTGAAAAAATATGGTCTCGATATTTTGACTGAAGCACTTGCAGATCATGACTATGACCGTCTAATTTTATTGGGCTGAGTGAAGTGGCAGAAAACGTTGTGGCATATATTGGTAGCTATGTTGTCAAAATGGTGGTGAAGACGTTTAAGTGCGCAGACTGCATTTCTTCTTGCATTGAAACACGAGGAAGTGACTTACAGTTTTACAGATTATTGGACAAAAAAAAAACATGGGTAAAACAAATACTTACAATAGTTATTTATTAAGTATTAACAAAATTTTGATTTTAGGTGGGCTTATTAAACCTTTTGCTGGGGTTGTAAAGACTTGTTGTTACTGTGAGTTGCAAATACGAAAAATTTTGCAACTCACCGATAACAAACTTCCAAGCGATGAACAATTTTTTAAAACTTTCGGCATGCCAGCATTCTTTTTCATAATTTAGAGGACCCACGCACTCGAGACGGCGGCCATCGATGAAGGCCATTTATATAGTCTTATTAAACAAAATAATTAATGCCTACATGTAAATAAGAATGTTTAATTTGAGCGAAAGACTTTCATGTCTTGCTCAAGGCCCTTGTGTTAGACATGTGTACACGTAATTGGTACTGTTTTCGCATCAATAAATATATTTAAGTATAATTATGTTTATTTATTTATGTAAGGTGGAATATATTTTAGTTGTGATTTATTATTAGGTGATTTTAATTAATGTTTTTAAATTTCCCGCTAAATAATCAAGCAATTGTCTAGGGATATCAAGTTCTGTTAGTGATTTGTGATCATGTTGGCAACAGTCAACTGATAAAATGGCTGCTTTCAATTTTACCAAGGATTTTGTGTCTGCGCAAGGGGAAGTTCATTTTCCCTCTCCATATCTCTGGAGTTCACAGAGTTTATCTGTCAAATAAAATCACTGACAGACCATAGAACGACGAAAACAGGAGACTGAAAGGTTCCTATTCTACAAATTTTGAAATGTTGGAAAAACATGAACTTGATAATTCGCCAGAGTGACTCCATAATATAATTTTTCATTTGTTTATGCTCGAGAAGTACGATTTATTCTTTGATCTCTAAAGTTATTGGAACCTCTGTAGGTTTTGGCCTATATCGAATCGCTGCGACACCAGTTGTAAATACCTTAAGTAGATATACAATCTCCTTCCACGAATTTATAACTTACTTATCTTTGCAGATAGAGTCGGATTAGATAAATGTTTCATCAATAAATACCTCAAAATTTATAGCTTTTTATATTTGTCTGTCGTTTGTCTAGAAAGAATAGATCAAAGATTGTTGTGATCATCACCCCGTAGACATTAAATTCTGTCATAATGTAAGTATTGGTTATTTAAAAATATATTTTAGTTATTATAAGGCAGAAACACATTTTGGTGCTCTTTGAATCGAATGATAATTGACCTTTTTGTATGCTCAATGTACATATTATTGTCTACAATCTTTGCAACTTATAAGTTTGATTAAAGGTTCATTTTTGCCATATAATTCTGATAATATAAAATAGGTTTTTCAGGCTTCGTAGACTTCACAAATAACTGTCAATTTTTTTGTACTCACGTTTCCATAATATGCTGTACATCCTCGACTTTTCATTTTACGTTACTTTATCTTTCGGATTTCTGAGAAGACCTTGCAGATTTTGTCCGGATATACAAACATATACAATCTTTTCTAGTCCTTTTGTTACTAAAGGAGCAAAGAAGGTTGTGCCAAAAAACGTCTTATCTGGGTTTTCTGTATGAAAACTAGTTGATTGAACAACCGATTTCTTAATTTAAACTTATTAAATAATTTATCAACTAGTCCTATTCCAAAACTGCTACCTACCATCTGGCTACATTTTTAATGATTTTGAACTCTTTGTTGAACCTTTCCTTATTCAAACTAATGGTAAGGTAAGGAGTTAGTTGACCAAATAATTGAGGCTTGCTTTCGTCTGTTGAGGACAGTAATGGGAGTCAACAATGATGTAGCGAAATGTATTGGTATCTTTCACATCAAACTCTAAAAAATAAGTCTCGCGTTTCCGTTTGTTTGTCGTTCGTCGACTGTCTGTGTCGATTTTTATTAGATACGTGATCTCCGAAACAAACTACCTGGACCGATTGCTGTCAAATTTTGTATGTGTATTATGCATATCGTGTGGACCCTAACATGCTAACCAAAATTTGTCTAATCTTCCCCACCGACAATTAAATGACGTAACTCATTTTTTTTTTTAACTGAGAATAGGTCTTAAAGATTATACAATAACATACTGTTGTACGTGTGGTTTTTGTATCCGTCTTTATTTTTTACCCTAAGTATCCAAATTTTTGGAAAAAAATAGAAATTTTAGTACCACAGTTTATGTCAACATAACCGGCTGGTCTGGATTCTGGATTCTTAACTTATGGGGGCTGACCGTAGCCAGCCGGCACTTAGGCCTCGCCTTTGGCCCTATTGTACCTTCCCCAAGTCCATATCAGGATGTTTTCCCGCTCCTCTACTAACCACGTACAGTTACTGCTATTACATATATTTTTTTCAATGTATAGAAATTATCACAAATAAAATTTTCGGCAAAATTAAATTTTATCATTTTTCAAAGAAACGGGATTTATTGTATGTAACATACTTCAGGAACGAGGGAAGTTCTGACGAAATTACCTTCAACCATTTTTTTTTCTATTACTTCAGACAAAATCTATTTAATTTATTCGAAATTAAATGAGTGGAAAAAATAATGCAACCCAAAAAATACATTTCATTGTTGATGTGCCTATTTTACATTTTTTTTTAATTTTATATCAAAGTGTCTTGTTAGATTATGATGAACACGAGCATTATGCAGTCAATCTTGACACTTAATTACTATTGATAAAATTTACTACTAACTACTGTCTGGCACATTATTTTATAATATAAAATCTTTCAGCATTTATTTTAATATGGACTCTACGATTACACATTTTTTTTAAATAAATGCTATCGAAGTTATCTTTAGTTTGTGTGTGTTATGTTGCCTAATTTTTTCCGCTCCTTTAGAAATGAACTGTAGGGTTATATTATATTTTTGAAAATTAAGGAGTGTCCATACAAAAATTACTAAATAAATCACTATTCAAAAATAATGCTTTGGCACGGATCGGTTTTTTAGAGACTTTAGTTTTGTCTAAATAACATTAGAAACACTCAGTTTCTCCCGGGAATACTGGATATTTTCACATCATATTTTAAAGAATTACATTTACTTTTGTAATGTCTAATATCATATAACATTTTCAGCACTTTCTCTCTCTAGCTCTCTCTCTCGTTCTCTCACCATGAACTCAGGCTCGATCACTCGGCAACCTAGGACAATCTGTTCCTCTTCAGAAAAGGTAAATCCACTTATTCTATACTTCGTGTGACAAATTTAAAGTTTTAGAGCTAATTATAGGAATAATTATTAAATGAAAAAATAAACTTTGTTTTTCTGCACTAGCCATTTTTTGAAAAAATGATAGTAATGTAGATATGGGGTGATCAATACTGATTGTAATCAGGTCAGCTTTGGATGTGTAAACGTATGTCTTTACCTTAAACGCTATGGATAACTGCGTTTACATTTGTCATTACATTGGATATATCAATCTACCAATCTATCAAAGATACGCGGATTAAAATTCAATTACTACTCGATTACAATCATTTATGATTACCCCTTATAACAATAAATCATAAAGGCGTCCAAGATGAAACTACGCGGCTTAATATTTTGAGAACGCATAGAAATATTGAAATTCTGTAAACGTCATTGTTTTTATTACGTTTTAGAACAGACTGTCTATAAGTTTTTTGTGTAAAATTTTATTAACATGTTGAAAGATAATTAGAAGTAAAACTAATTTTGCAATTGAAATCAGGTCCAGTAAAGGGAATCTAATATAAATTAGCACCACGTTGAACTGCAACATGTTTTTAGAGAAGGTAAACTATTTTAATATTTTTCAGTGCCATAGGGACCGATTTCGCACATACAAAAAACTACCAGGAACAGTAGATCATGGCAAAGAATATGAACAAATGATGTGTGCATTCTATGCTTTAAAATTAATTGCGCGCGATGATGTGGAAGATTTTGAAATGACTACGAACAACAAAGAACATGGAGTTTTTGACGACATCGGACTGACAGTTACATTCAAGAACACGAAAAAACGCACTTATCTCATTCAACTCAAACACAAAGAAAGAGGAAAGTCCATCACAACGAACAATCTACTTAATCCAAAACATGACTTCGGCGTTCAAAAATATTTTAATTCTCTATCTTCTCTTAATATCATGGATGATGTTGTTTGCATCGTCTACACAAATTCTTCTACATATATTAAGCAAAGTACCGAAATAGCGGCAAATATTAATCTAGAAGTATGCAATAATATTGAATATGAAGATTTGCTTCTTAACGTTGAACAAAGAAATTCGTTAAGTATTTTTCAAATTCTGCAAAGGCTAGAAGATAAAACTCAGATGTTTTATTTTTTTACAGAACAAAATAACATACATAATACTAAGATGGTAGTAGAAAAAATGTTGCACGAGATGTTACAATGTAACATTTACGATTCTTTTATACATTTTATAAGCGAATGGTGGTCGAAGAGCTTTGTTTTGAATAAAGATGACGTCATTGCGAAATTAACTGAAGTAGCTGTCTCACCTTACATGAAAAATTTAAGCAACGGCAAACAAAATAGGAAAACAGAAAACCTCAGGAAAGCAATAATGAATTACTCATTGACCATTGTGGAAAGTAGTGAAGAAAATATTATCGAAAATATATGGCCGGATCTAAACATCCCAGATGAAGAATTCATTAAAACCAAAGAAAAATTTGGAATAAAGATAAGGGAACAAAATAAGATGGCATGGTTTTTAGATAAAGTTCCATTGATTGTAAAAGTAGACGATTCGAATAAAACAACAGTCGAATGTGTAATGAAAATAATGAATAAAAGTGTTGAAAAGAAACAAATTATCTTGGTGGGCAACGTTATGAAAGGTGAGTTCGATGAGATGGAAGTTTTCGAAGATTTATCTGACCTGGGGAACAAGGCCGGCAACGAAGCATATTATCGCGACATTTTGCGGAATTTCCAAATTTCTTTACAAGGAAGAGAACCAGTTTGTTTGGAAGAATTTATTAACATTGACAGGGAAATTGCTAAGCATATTGGAGTTGGTGAACTATTGAAGATGTCTCAAGCACCCTACATAATAGGAAATGAAAGAGAAGAGTTACCCGAATTACACATACCAAGATATGTATCTACCACTTTCGTAAAGGCAGAGAAAATTTTTACCATTTATAAATCACAGAGAAATCAAGCAGTGGTAATAATTAATTGCGACTCAACATTTAAAGATCTAACATTAACACATAAAAAACATAATTTTGTTGAATGTTCTGTCTACCTTAGCCCAGAATATGTTGCCGATGACAACGTAATTATACTTTCCACAAAAACCAAATTAACACATGCTGAATTTCTTCGGGTTTGTGAAAAATCCAAAAAATCAAACGCATATCTATTCCAAGTATTTGATAAAGAAACTTGTGCCTTACTTTTAATAAAAGGAAACGAACTACCGCCTGATATTATACACGAGTCCAAGAATATACCAGAAGCGGATGTTTTACGTTATCTCGATAACCCACTTAACGCTGTTTGTGCTCCACCCGGAATGGGCAAATCGACATTAATCAAAGTTCTTTATAACAATTGCCCTTCACATTATTGGGCAACTTACGTTGATCTGATAAATTGTAATTCATTTTTGAAAAAGATACCAGATTCAACAGCAATGTGGAATTATTTTTTAAGAAATACAGAAAGAAAAGAAAAAACTGTAGAAGAACAAATTAGGAATACTATGCTCAGAAATAAAAAGTTGTATTTATTTCTCGACGGATTAGACGAAATGGAAAGTAGTTGCATCGACTGTGTTTTAAATTTTGCTAAAGACGCGTCATCAAATGGTATCAACGTATGGATTTCGTCAAGAGAAAATTTACGTCAAAAAGTCTCAGACACATTAAACACGGTGTTAGTAGAGATACAACAATTAAATAAAGAACAGCAAGAAAAGTACATGCGTAAAAGATTGACAGAAAAATACAGAAAAGAAGAAGTAATAAAAATCTTAAATGCCGTATTTGCTAGCGTGGACCTTAACAATAGCCAACAGCTCCTAGGAATCCCGTTGCAGTTACACATAATCGCAGAAATGTTTCTCAACAACGACGAAGCTTACAAGAAAATCGAAGATCAAGATATTTTTGTGTTAACACAAATGTATAAGTTGTTTTTCGAGGGAAAAATAATATCTAATAATGAAAAAATAGCAAGCAGCACGAAAACACATATGTTTGGCAACATAAAAGCATCGTTGCAACAATACGAAGTTATTGCTTTAAAAACATGTCTGGAGACTGAAGACTTTAAGAAACTAAATGTGAACTTAGAGGAACTAAAAGATGTCATAACCCATTTTAAAGAGAAGCTTGACGTAAATGGAATCATCAAGGAAATAAACGAAAGTGGTGAGGCTGTGTTTGAGCATCAAACTTATGCGGAATACTTTGCGTGTACCTGGCTGAAAAAGAACAAAGAAAAAGCGGCTTTGTTGAAAGACGTAATATTTAAAGTTAGATACGAAAATTTACGGCTCATGTTTGACGTAATGTTAGCAGAAAACAATCCTTTACATTTATCTATCGTTTATAAAAATGTAGAACAATTCGACAAATACAAACATGAAATAAACAGGGCAGATCAAGGCGGTCGAACACCATGGGAGCTCATATGTTCGTATGGAATGAAATATCCTCCCGAACACATCAAATTATACGACGAATTTGTAATGCTTAATGGAGAATTTGATTGGTTTGTGCATATGACAAAAATCCTCGTACAAGAACAGAACCACATGATTCAGCTTAGCGCCAAGAGTGATATTTTCAATTTCACTTGGTTAAATTACTGCCTTGAAGCACAGTGTCTGTATCCAATCGAACTAATTTTAGAAAGAAAACTGTTGATGTTCAATGACATCCAAGAAGAAGTTTTTAAATGTTATAGGGAAGACACTGTAGCATACTACGCAGCACAGATGGGTTATCCTAACATACTTTCTGGAGTTATTGAAAAAAATCCAAGTCTCGTCAAAACAAAACTACATAAACACCAAATAACTGGCAATCTCTTGGAAACAGCAGTTATTGGCCCAAAAGATAAAGATGACACACAGAATAACAATTCCCAATTCCTAGACGCCTTCAAAAGAACAGTTCAGTTACTTATAAAAAAGGGTTTTGATATAAATGCACAAGTTAAAGATAAAATGACAGCGTTACATTTGGCGTCTCAAAAAGGTGATTACGCAATTACAAAGATATTGTTAAATTCCGGCGCTTCGATTAACGTTGCTGACGAGGATAAAAGGAACGCGTTGCATTATGCGTCGGAATCATGGGAAAACAATCGAGTTGTAATAAAATTATTGATTGAGAAAGGCATTGACGTAAATATACAAGATGGAAATGGAAGAACCGCTTTACAACTGGCGTGTAAAAGCGAGGTTTATGAAAATGCAGAAGTGTTGTTAAATTCTGGCGCTTCGATTAACATGGTGGACAAGAACAAAATGAACGCGTTGCATTATGCGTCGGAATCATCGAAGAACAATCGAGATGTAATAAAATTATTGATTGAGAAAGGCATTGACGTAAATGTACAAGATGGAAATGGAACAACCGCTTTACAACTGGCGTGTGAAAGCGGCGTTTATGAAAATGCAAATATGTTGTTAAATTCCGGCGCTTCGGTTAACATTGTGGACAAGGACAAAATGAACCCGTTGCATTATGCGTCGAAATCATGGGATGCCAATCGAAATGTTATAAAATTATTGATTGAGAAAGACATTGACGTAAATGTACAAGATGGAAATGGTAAAACCGCTTTACAATTGGCGTGTAAAAGCGGTGTTTATGAAAATGCAAATATGTTGTTAAATTCCGGCGCTTCGGTTAACATTGTGGACAAGGACAAAATGAACGCGTTGCATTATGCGTCGCAATCGTGGAAAGTCAATCGAAATGTTATAAAATTATTGATTGAGAAAAGCATTGACGTGAATGTACAAGATGGAAATGAAAAAACCGCTTTACAATTGGCGTGTAAAAGCGGTGTTTATGAAAATGCAAATATGTTGCTAAATTCTGGGGCTTCGATTAACATTGTGGACAAGAACAAAATGAACGCGTTGCATTATGCGTCGAAATCATGGATCATCAATCGAGATGTAATAAAATTATTAATTGAGAAAGGCATTGACGTAAATGTACAAGATGGAAATGGAAAAACCGCTTTACAACTGGCGTGTAAACAAGGTGTTTATAAAAATGTAGAAATGTTGTTATATTCCGGCGCTTCGATTAACATTGTGGACAAGGACAAAATGAATGCGTTGCATTATGCGTCGAAATCATGGAAAACCAATCGAAATGTTATAAAATTATTGATTGAGAAAGGCATTGACGTAAATGCACAAGATGGAAATGGAAAAACCGCTTTACAACTGGCGTGTGAAAACAGTGCTTACGAAATTGCAAAAAAATTGTTAAGTTCCGGTGCTTCGATTGACATTGTGGACAAGGCCAAAATGAACGCGTTGCATTATGCGTCGAAATCACGGGAAGACAATCGAGAAGTAATAAAATTACTGATTGAAAAAGGCATTGACGTAAATGTACAAGATGGAAATGGAAAAACCGCTTTACAACTGGCGTGTGAAAACGGTGTTTATGAAAATGCAGAAATGTTGTTAAATTCCGGCGCTTCGATTAACACTGTGGACAAGGGCAAAATGATCGCGTTGCGTTATCTATCAATAACACGGAGAAATAATCGAGATGTAAAAAAATTATTATTATTTTTAATATTATATGTTATTATTATTATTATATATTATTATTATTTAGATTAAGCTGGCTAACAGGAACCCAATTATAAGCCAGCTTTAAAGGAGGCGTGAAGTGTATGAAAGAAGTAATTAATAATTAGTAATTAATTAAAAAAAAAACTGAATTTTTGCGTGTTGGTAACTAGTATATCAGAAGCTCATGCAACGACAAGTGACCCAAATTTATCATCACAACCTGATATCCATCCATAGAACAGATATCAGTACTTACAGCGATTAGCCATGAGGAAGCAAATGGTACTTATCAATTACAATAGCAATAATACACGAGAGAGACATTGCATAAATATCGGAATAATCAGAAAAGAAGTTGATAATACGACAGCTGTTAAATATAGGAGAGTGCCTTATAACAGTTGCATTCGGTTTAGGAGTATAAAAATACTGAATCGATCTCAATTGAACAGTGGGGTCACAGAAATTTAGAGAAGATAAGATCTGTGTGCAATTGATCCTGCTGTGCAATAAATTATAAATGAACCTAATGTAAAGCAGATCACGCCTACATTGCAATGAAAGTAAATTAAAACGACTGCACAAAATATCATTACTAATGCCATGAACTGGGTACACATGATCAAGTTTCCAACACAAGAACTTTAAGAATTATTGATTGAGAAAGGCATTGACTTAAATGTACAAAACGTAACTGGAAAGACCGCTTTATAACTTGCATGTCTAAATGGTGTTATGTATGAAAATGCAGAAATGTTGTTAAATTCCGGCGCTTCGATTAACATTGTGGACAAGGACAAAATGAACGCGTTGCATTATGCGTCGAAATCACGGGAAGACAATCGAGAAGTAATAAAATTACTGATTGAAAAAGGCATCGACTTAAATACGCAAAATGGAAATGGAACGACCGCTTTACAATTAGCATGTTTACGGGGTGTTTATGAAAATACAGAAATGTTGTTACATTTCGGCGCTTCGATTAATATTAGGGACAAGAAAAGCGATAACCCGTTGCATTATGCATCATGTTTCCGTAAAGATAACCAAGATATAATAGAATTATTGATTGGAAAAGGCATCGACGTAAATGCACAATCTAAAGATAGAAATACCGCTTTACATGCTGCATGTCTACAGGGTGTTTATAAAAATGCAGAAACGTTGCTCGATTCCGGAGCTTGGATTAACATAATGGACAATCAGAAAGATAACGAGTTGCACAATGCATTGTGTTCAGACGAAGACAATCGAGATATAATAGCATTACTGATTGACAAGGGCGTCGACGTAAATTCAGAAAATGAAAACAGCACGACTCCTTTACAACGGCAACAGGAACGCATTGCATTATGCTTCAGAATCCTTGAAAGTCAATCGAGACACAATAAAACTGTTGATTGAAAAAGGTTTTCACGTAGACGCACAAAGTCAAAATGGAACTACCGCTTTACTAACTTTACTAACTGGCTTGTCTAAACGGTATTTATGAAAATATAGTTATATTGTTAGATTTCGGCGCTTCGATTAACATTACTGACAAAATGGGGAATAACGCGTTGCACTTGGCTTCAGATTCGCACAACGACAATCGGGACATACTTAATTTATTGATTGAGAACGGCATTAACGTAAATCTACGAAATCAAAATGGTGCTACTGCCTTACATCTTGCATGTCGAAAAGGTGTTTATGAAAATGCAAAATTATTGTTAGATATCGGAGCTTTTATTAACACTACGGATAAAGACGACAAAAACACCTTGCATTATGCATCAGAATCACAGAAAGACAACCGAAAAGTAATAAAATTATTGACTGAGCATGGCATCGATATAGATTTACAAAATCATTATAGAGCGACCGCTTTACAACTTGCATGTCGACAGGGTGTTTATGAAAATGTAGAAACGTTGTTAGATTCTGGTGCTTTAATGAAAATTCTGGATCAAAACAACAAAAACGCTTTGCATTATGCCTTATGTTCGAGAAGAGATACTAGAATGATAATAAAATTACTTATAGACAACGGCATCGACATGCATGTTCAAAATAAAATCAAAACCACGATTTTTAATACAGTAGCACGGAATTAAAATTATTATCTCTGATTTATGTGAAGGCGTCGTTTTTAGGTAAGAAACAACTGTACGTTTAGATAATTAGCAATGTGTTTATTGAAGAAACATTTAGTTTTGTATTAAGTTCTTTCTCTTCATTTGTTTGATGCGCGGATCTATTCTAATCTTTTATATTTTCTTGAAACTTATTTCACACAAAAATGTTTCTCATTCTCTGGTAGAATTTGCTCCTAACATTCATTGTTACTTCTAGACTTCTACTTATAAATATACCTAAGTAATCCTAGCTGATGTATTCATGCATTAAATTACTTTTCCAAATATTAATTGCAATATGCAAATAACTAAGTGGGAAAATGGGGAAGGTTTGATACATTCACAATTTTGCGTTCCTTCGGCTTCGAATACAAAGAGTTTCAATAGAAGCAAGCAGCGTCATTCTTAGTCTTCACTTGGTTATGTTTCTTCATTCTGCTTGATGGACAACTGTTTATTTCGAAATACGATTAGACGTCCGGTATTCGGTGATAATATTTTTTGCATTTTTCATTTCTACCACTAGTGCCCTTTTGATTTTTACAACTTTGTTGCACATGCTCTTTTGAACTTTTCTTTTGTGCTGGTACTCCACTGCTAATGCCCTAGGAGTGTCTGTTAAAATCCTCGTTTTTTTCTGATTTTCGACCTCCCTTTTTTTTGTTCAGTTTCAGTCGTATTTCCTCCGGAGTTTTTAATACATTTTTTATTTGTAAATCTACCGATTTATCAAGTTCAGAATATGAGGAAAAATGACAGCAGCCAGGCTCTACATCGTTCCCTGTTTCACTTCTGATCCGGTAACATCATTTTCGTCAAAAGCATGTTTATTGTACGGATATATTCCAGTCATTAAAAAAACACTAATGATGCTTCTAGGAACGAATGCTCGACTGAATATCCTCCCAACAAGTTCTGGAATATTTTTTTGATTACATTGTTTCACCAGGATTTTGTTATACAAGTTTATTTCTATTCTAAATAGATTCTGACCCAAAACCGTCACGCTCTAAGACCGTGAGCAGATTTTGAAAAAAATAATTGGACACTGTGAGAATTAAAGACAATAGATTTGAATAGACTTGTAGCCTCCAGAATTCCTAATGACAACTCATGATTACGGGACATAAAACCCCGAAATCAATCTTTAAATCCAGCTTACTCGAGATTAAATTTTCCATTGAATGTATCTAACTCCAAGCCCCAGAAATTGATAGAAGGCCGCGTAATTTAAAAGTGTATAAAACCTCCCTGCGTGTCAACTCTCCCCAGTCTCCTCTACTCTGAACATCCGTGTGTTAATAATAATTGGTAGTTACCTTTCGGGACAAATACAATGCAGAGGTTATTACCACAATTTTCTCTCTTTCTTTGACTCGTAATCAAATCAAAAGTTTGCGAATATATGGGTACACTTGTTGAATATACCTTCATCATCAGCCTTTACTCCTATGGAGGACAGTAGTAACTTTAGCTACTGTTGATGGCTACATTTAAGTTATAAGCTTGTTAGTTAATTTGTCGACTCTAATATTATTAATCATATTGATTTTTGCTTTCATCTGATCTTCAAAAATAGTCACATTTTCTTGTATATATATATTCTCCAGTTGTTTATGTGCTAAGTTTTTGTCGTTGCTATTTAGATATGTTCTGTACAGCGAGATTTGGTGGTTGGGTTTTTGACGTCAAGACTTTGGAAGTTATCAGTCTTTAATAGTATGACATCTAATTACTATATCTTAATTTTTCCAATTTTCACATTCCGGTTGTGTTTAGCAACGTAATTAGCACGCTTCCATAAGCATATATAAAGACACTTTTATTTCTGTAAAAACTTTTCACAAAAATGTCTACAGCCACATCACCAGCAGTGAGTGCTTCGATGTTGATTTGTTTGTCAAGAATAGGTCGTTGTAAGTAGAATGAATGAGAGCTCTATCTTGACCAAAAAATCTATTCTCTAGTTCCCCATCATCTGACTGGTTGGTAAACGGCTCTATATCTTAATTTATTTCATTTCATTTACTTAGATTTATATAATAGTAATGTATATTTTTGTACTCAATTTTGTACATAATTGTGATTTTTTGAAATACCTCAAAGATACCTACATCAGAATTGAAACTACTAATACTTCACGTTTAATTAATAAGCAACTGTCTGTGTAAATACAGCCTTCTGCTATATAAAATGGGTTAAATTTTGTAAATCAGGTCTTCTTATTCCTAATCTGAATTTCATGAGCTTTTAGTATTGTGAACATTCCAAGGGAAACCCTCATTACTTAAGGTAAGTTCACTATTTTTATCCACAGTGTTAATACTTTCTACAAAGTCCTTAGGAAAGCGTCTTCAGCTTCAATGACCAAATAGGCGCAAAGAATCTCCCCAACTCCATCCAAGAAATATGCTTCACGCTAACTTCAAGCATCTGGGTGGTTTTTCAGAAGGTGATTTCATGTTTCCACCGCTTTGTTTGAATATAACGACACTTTAATCTATTTTGTTATTCCACTGGAGATTTTTTGTGTGTCCTGTCTAAAAAGTTTTTCTTATACACAAAAGTGAGTATAACGTCTAACAAACTTCTCACTTTTAAATAATTTTTCAGAAACAGGTTTACTTAGCCCAACTGCCAAATCATAAAATTTAAGGACACAAATCGAAAAACTGCTGACGTCTATGTGGAAAAAGCAACTTACACTACAAGAACGTGGAGTTTCCAGAAGAAGGTCGCATGTCTTCGGTCTTTCCACTGAAGATTTTTCACCAATTCCTGCATCCACATCACCAGCAGGAAATTCGTCCACTATTAAAACGTTTTTGAAATTGTCTTCTCGTGTACAACTGAACGTCGTAAAAAGGAAATTATTTAAAAATGTTGCAGTTATAAACATAATAATTTGGTTTGACCTGGGTAAAAAATCTTTCTCATGTGTAAAGGTAAGAACTTTTACTTTAATCTGCTATCTAAAAGACTTCATCCTTGGAAATGAAATTTCAGAAAGTCTATTTAGCCCCAGTTGTCAAATCGTAACATTGAAATAAAACACCAAAATCAATTTACTCCACGCTTCTTTTCGATGAACGAACTACAAGATTCACCTTTTATCACATCAAATCTATAAACGGTTGTCTCAGTGCTGATTCGATAAAAATGAAAAACTAAATCGTACTTCGAAATCAAGGGTAAGTTCGTTATTACATTATGTAATCGTGGATTCAGTGTATTTTATATTTTAGATTTTCAATCTTTGACCTCTTTTTGGAAGATATACCATTAAGTACGTCGGGATACTTTCTGTGCATGCATAGAACCAAGTTTTCACAAAAATCAAAAACCTGTATTTTCTCAGTCGTTTTTCTCAGTCATGGCATGATTATTAGGAGATTAGATGGTCCGAACTTGAACCCACCCACCTCAATGGAACTCCTCATCGTACGCAGAGAGTGAAGAAAACAGACTGTAAGAAGTGGATCGGACATGATCCTCGAGTGGTCACTTATTCTTTAATTTGTCTTAGCAATCCATCATGGGTCAAGTTCTTAGTAACGACTGTCGAAACACATGTCGCCTTACTTTTCTAAAAAACCGTAACAAACAAATAATTTGTTAATTGTGTTTAATTGTTTCTTTTTCTGCATTAAATTATCAATCTATTAAAGGCAACGACCGGGATGGATGTGCACGAAGACAGAATATCGTTTTGATAATAATAAATAATAGTTTTAATTAGAATTGTTAATGCAATTTGCAAAAAAAAAGGTTGGAAATTCCGATGAATGACAACCTTAGATCTAAGTTACCACAGGTAGAATACAATCTCACAGGTAATGACGGTTTTCTAGGTTTTTAGATCTACGGCTGGGTGTTCTAGTTGAAGTTTGCGAACCTATGGTTCACCTCAAAGTGTTGATCGATAATTTTATTAGAATATTGTATATGGTTGTAATATGTAATTGTATGCGATATAGGGAATCGTTGACATCGTTCGAGGAAGAACGAAGTACACGTGTTGTTCAAGTTCACGCGGATATTTGACAACACTGTTTTATTCAAATCTACTTTCGTGAATCTTTAACAAGTCTTTGTTTTTTACTGGTCAAGTAACAGAACTATAATGGTAGATTTACCCTAAATTTTATAGTGATGGCTTCGTTCCTTCTCAGCGCACAAATTTTCTGTAATTGTTTTTTTTTCCTTTACTAAATAATACGTTGTGTCGTTTCAGCTTATTTAAAAAATTTAATTTGTTTTCTAGTTTTATTTAAAAATAGAGTGTGTTTAATAAAAACTTAACCTATTTTCAACCGAAAGGTCGTCTTTGATTTTGTGGACTTTACGATCAACCATTTAAGGTGCAAAAAAAGAAGTTTATTTTAAATTATCCAAACCACAAATATACATGGTGTATCAAAAATCCTGTCTAGAGAGCGGAAAATATGTAGCAAAATTTTGAGAAATATGAACATATGATATGCACCAAATTTATGCAAATATGCAGTAACTTTCTTAATATATGCAGCGATATGCAGTTGCATATGCTCCAAAAATAAAAAAAAAGCTTAAAAACGAACTCAATTTATTTATAAATTACAAAAACAGGTTTCCCGAGCGTACCTTTTATTACAAAAAAATATATAAATCACACTGCAAAGTGTTTAATTACATCTCACTAACACATAAATCACTTTTTTAAAGATAATATTCTTATACTAAAAAATAAATATAAACAGAACAAATTAAAAAATAGTAGTAATCCACTATTTAATTATTATTTTGGTAACAATTTATTTTTAAATATTTTTCGAAATATTCTAACAAAAAGTTTTTCCGGTGATTCTAAAGTATTACGTATTTGTAAATAGAAAAACTGCGTACTACGTCGACAGATGTAAAAATACTTACCGGTTTAGAACAGGCGCGACAAAACACAGTTCGTTCTTGAAGAATAAGCTCAGGAAAAGGTTTAATCAATAAATTAATTTGAGTTATCTTCGACCTATTGATATACCTATATCCCTTTAAATGCTTTCAATACAAACTCACGGTGAAAAGTAATAGTATAACGTCCCTTTTCCAGCACTAAACGTACCATTAATACACTTAACTAACGAACAAAAATATTGGGAACGAACGGTATTTCCAAAAGTAATTAGGGTGCGAATTTACCTGGAAGGATGGCTTAACACCCAGTGCTGTCTCCAAACTAGCATAAAACCCAAACCTTTCCTAGTTATTAGCTGAGGACAATATTTACAATATGATTCATAAAATTTCCTCTTTCTAGATAAATGCCGATAGAATGGCAATAATTTTTTTTTCAATTTGGCACAAAAATTGATAAAATTGCAAAGTGTGCACAGGTTACGTGAAATATGCAGCAGAAGGCAAATATATGCAAATATGCATTTTTTTTTTACCAAGATTCGTACACATATTACATATCAAGACTTATATGCAAAAAATAACGGATATGCAAATTTCATAGAATCCTCTCTCTACTTATGTCCCTTTGAGATTCACTTACAAAAACAATAATTCGATTTATTAGACAAATAGACTTAAAATAATAAAAAATTAGCCACTTTTGTGAAATTCATTCCGAACAATTTTTTAGCTTTTTATAATACTATTCGGATAAAATAAAGAAAACTTTCGAATAATTACACTTGGGGAAGGTACAATGGGCCCACAAGCGAGGCCTAAGTGCTGGCTGGCTATGGTCAGCCCCTATAATTAAGAATCCAAGAATCCAGAATCCAAGTGCGATCTAGAGTAATTCTGGTTGATCGAAGCTCAAAACAACAAAACAGTCATTTTCAGAACTCTTTTTGGTTGCGTACAAAAATTTTGTTTTTATGTAAGGAAGCGAAGACTGTGAAAATGGTTTATTTTGTTGAACAAGACACTTTCATCGTTATGTCTTGTTATCGCAATGGGACTTCGTAAACGAAGAGTTTCTGTATTCTGTAACCGCTTGTAAGCAAGAATAGCTGGCCAAATACCGCGATTTAATGATTCAGGAAATACCGTTAAAGGCCCACACTAGAGATGTAATCAACAGATTTGTTCGAACTGGCAGTCTCAACAAAAAGAACTCTCGTGGATGATTTTAAATATCTGGGGAAGTTGTTAATGACTTGATACGACTTGAACACAATTGAACAATTGAACAACGGGTCCAAAATATTGACGAAAGGATGTTACGGAACATTTTTTAAATTAAAAAGAGAGCGAACAAGTGGTTTGAACAGAATGATGAACATTTTCAACAGTCGTTGTGATGTTTAACTGCAATAAATTTGTTTCTTTTTATCGTAATGAATTAGTTTTACTTTTTTAAAACATGTGAAGCGTTTAGGCAAGCAGTTATACACATGTGTGTGGTCCATGTGTGATCTTTGTCATACGTCCCTGGGCACTTAGTACGGAAATGGTACGGATCTCCGTACAGTTAAATCGGAGAGGCGGCACGTTTACATGACCTACTGCGACGCTATAATCAGTTATAGAAACCCTGTAGAAGTTACGCCAGCTTTGTAAGATCGGGACGATGGTTGTAAAATAGACAGGTTTGTACACTACATGTTAAAACAATATGCTTAATAACTAATGTTTCAGATATTATGCATAATTCCTGTTCCTCTGATAGTTATTATCAATATTACCTAAACGATTCGGTTATTATGCATAATAACTGACAAGTTTAGTTTTTACGCATAATTCCTAAAATGTCTAGTTATTATGCATAATAACAGATTTCGGATGTTAGTTGGAACATATCTACTACTTATCTCAGAAAGAAGGTGATTTAAAAAAGCCCTACGTCTAGTAACTTCTCCCTGCATTGTTTATTCGAAAAATAGTTTTACAAAAACTGCTCGTATGTGTTTTCATTTGCCGGGAAATCAAAATATATTTATAATAAAAATATGTAAGTCTTGGTTATAAAAAATGTACTCCTAATAAATTATTAAAATATTTAAAAATATATAAAAATATAGAAACAAATTCTATTTGTTTCTCGCAAAGGTAGGTTCTTTTTTCTTGTTGAATCAGTTATTCCGGCCCAATAAGGTCCCAAAGTAAAATCTGTCAAGTTTATCTACCATCTTTTTACATATTACTTCGTCTTTCTATACTTATTCCTTTGGGTGTCCACACTACAAAATAAACTTGTCAATTGCCCGTAACAAGCATTTGTCCCTGGACTTGAAAGTAATGATCGTGATTTTTTTTTAAATTTCAATTCTCTACCTGTCAATGTACAAATTGCTAAGCTCTTTTTCGGGGGAAAAAATCTTGCGATTTTGATGGGCATTTAATTTCGACTAATGCTCTCCTATCCTTTACAACCCTGTGTGGACTCGCGGCCAAGTAAAGAAATTGTTTTCAGTTTCTTGGATTATTGCTTATTGTAGCTCATCAAGGGTATGCAACCTATTTTTGAAGACATTGTTCTTCAAATGACGTCTAAGGAATGCGGTAGTGTCGAAAACATAAATGTTGCAATGATAGCATAATGTTTAAGCTATTGAAATAGTGGATATAACAACTTTTAGTTTATTTAAGGTGCTTGTATGAATTGGAGAGTAAGTAGAAATTAGTTATTGTTAGTGTAAAACAATACAATGGAGTAAAGTGTTAAAACGAGTTGCTCGTATTACTTTCACTCGGGTAACCACCCATTAGGGGGAGCATCTCATCCAGAGTTTATCACAGACCAAACAAAAAAAAATCCGGTGCGGTGAGGTCTGGTGAATCATAACTTTCCTGCAAGAAGGAAGTGTGCTCCGTCTTGCTGAAAGCAACCACACGGGCATTCGTCATCATGCAAGGATTGTAGAATATTAGTGCAATGCAAATGCAACCAGCCGTGCACTATACTGATTTTATTCCAAGTGTGTTTTGAAGTGTTTTTTTCTTGAATAGTTAATGTTCAAATTTCATATTCAGGCAAGTAAGTTCTCAGTAAACCCATTTACATTGTTTTGTCAAATTAATTAAGTATCCCCAGAGAAAGTTTACAACCTAACCTAAAAATTCGAATTTGTTCCTTTCCATTTGTGTTCTTTTGTTTACCCACTCCGTGGTCTTATTGTTTGTTCAGTTAGTCACTGCGAACGACCCCGCAAGTGTGAAGTGTATCCCTGTTTAATCCTTCTTTTAGTAAGTTACAATCCTTATAAGGTTAGGTTGTGATGATGCGTTGCCTTAAAAGTAAAGGGGATATCGATGATAAAAGTACTGCCTATATTAAATGTGATGGATGTACTAAACCCATCCATACAGCCTGTTCTGAACTTTCTCAGCAGGATCTAAAATGCTTAGCCTTGAGGTCCACTTCCTCGCGACGCCTAATATATATATGTTTAGAGTGTGAGCAGGGTGTACACCAAATTCCTAAATTAATTTCCATGATAAATATGTTACAGGACGAAATTCAGCAATTAAAAAATACTATCAAAGCTACTACCACCATTGCATCCAGTGATTCATCGTTTATTGAAACTGAAAAAGTTATCAACGAAATAACCGAACGCAAAAAACGTGAATGCAACATAATTATCTTCAACGTTAAAGAATCTAACGGTATCTCAAAACAAGAACAAAATGTTGCTGATTGTTCTCTTGTCAATGATTTTATATCTGAATCAAAACTTAACTTGCCAACTGTTCCACCGGTTCGTCTTGGTAAATTTGATGCAACAAATGTCAACAGAGCGCGTCCTATTAAAGTTACATTGTCCAGTCCTGAAGATGTTTCAAGTATAATCAAAAACTTTAAAACTTTAAAATCTATGGATAAATGGTCCCACATTAACATCTCAATGGATCGTACTCCCATGCAAATTAATGCATATAAATCGGTAAGGGCAGCACTTGACAATCGTTTGGCTCTGGGTGAAAAAAATCTGAAAATTCAATATCGTAATGGCATACCTACTATTATTGCAAACTTGTCGGAAAACTAGATCAGTCCAGCAGGTATTCAACACTTATGTCTGTATTACCAAAATGTTCGGGGACTTGCTTCTAAATCTCATTCTTTTTACGTCAGTTGTTGCGATCTGTCTTTTAACATTATCGCAATTAGTGAAACTTGGTTACATGATTCCATTCTCACTTCTGAAATATTTCCTTCTTATTATAGTGTCATTCGTTGTGATAGAAAATTTTCATTGGTTCGTCCCTCTAGAGGGGGTGGAGTATTAGTTGCATTCTCAAATAAATTTAAATATACGGTAATAAATACCAAACATCTTACTGATTTGGTACCGCTCATTGACGTAATCATTTGTAAATGCTCTTA